CTCGGCGTCCCCTTCATCGTCACCGGCTTCGCCCACGTCGACCTGCTGCACCTCGGTCGGCTTCCCCGCCGACTTCTCCCCTGTGGTCGACCTCCCTGCCGACTGCCCAGTCGCCGACTGCTCTGTGGTCGGCGTCGTTGCTGCCTGCTCCCCTGTCGGCTGCCGCCCTGCTGGTGCCTTCTTCGCCGGCTTCACCAAAGTCGGCTGCACCTCCTCGGCCTGCTCCTCCCCTGCATGCATCAACTTCACTCTCATGTCGACTTGCTGGACGCCAGGTCGGCCTTCGGCGATGCTCTTGGCCGGCGCCACAGGCGACGCCCCTTTGCTCCCCTCATCGCCGGAGGCCGACGTCAGAGTCAGCCCATGCGAGTCGGCCACACATTGAGGGGCAGGAGGGGCAGGGGAGGGAGAGGAGTCGTCCTCGACGTCCGCATCAGCAAGCTCACCGACCCCGGCGAGCAGAGGGAGCGTCGCCGTCGAGGTTTCCGTCGGTGGGGTGGTTGGCGACCGTCCCGACGCCGGCCCGTGCGTCGACTTCTACACCTCCAGTGACATGCTCTCGTAGAACACCACGTCCGACGTGGTGACCACCCGGTTGTCGGCGATGTCGAGGAGCTCCCAGCCCTTGCTCTCCGCCGACACACCGAGGTGAAGGCCCCACTTGGCCTTCGGCTTCAGCATTCCGCCACGCTGCTGCTCGGGGACCAAGAACTGTGCCATGCAGCCCCACACCCGTGCCAGCGACAGGTCGGGCTTTTGCCCGGTGAGCAGCTGGTACGGCGTCGTCCCCGGCGACAGCGTCGACCTCTCAAGGCAGTTGCGGACCCAGACGGCCTGCCGCAGAGCGAGGTGCCACCAATGGTGCTTCACGCCCATGTGCAGCAGCATCGTCCGCACGGACTCCACCACCGTCCTCATCTTCCGCTTCGCCATGCCGTTCTGCTGCTGGGTGTACGGGCAGGTAAGGTCGTGGACGATCCCCTTGCCGTCCACGAAGTCGGTGAACTTCTTCCCGGGGAACTCCCCTCCTCGGTCGGAGCGTAGCATCAGCACCGACTCCTGCACCTGCCTCTCCACCAACACCAGCCACTTCTGGAACTCAAGCAGCACATCCGACTTATTGGCGACCAGCCTCACCCACACAAAGCGGGTCTTGCGGTCCTTCAGCAACAAGAAGTACAAGCTGCCGTCCTTGGCAGCCACGCGGAACGGCCCGCACAGGTCGATGTGCACGACGGCCAGCACGTCGTCAGCGTTGGAGCGGGAAGGTGTGCCGCGCCAGCTTCCCGCCGACGCACGAGACACATGGTGAGTCGGCGCCCGACGCCGACTTGAGGTCCAGCCCAGTGGCGACCTCGTGCTTCGCTGAGCTCCGTATGGTGTCCATGCCGACGTATGCAAGCCTCGCATGCAGCCGCTCCGGCGTCGACTTCGTCGCCGAGACGATCGCCCGCAGAGCCACGACCTCCGTCGTGGGCGACGTCGACCTCGTTGAGCAGGGACGCACGTCGGTGCAAATGACACGCCCGGAGTACGTCGCCCGACCGAGCACCTCTCCCGCTGCCGAGACGAGCAGCATCCTGTCGCGATCCTCCTGCAGCTTCACGCCGTGCTCCTTCAGCTGGCCAGTTGAAAGCAGGTTCGCACGTACACCCGGGACGTAGAGCACTTGCTTCCCGGCCTCCCCTTGCTGGGCGACAGTGCCGCGGCCCTGGACGTCCTGCAGCGCCCCATTGAAGCCTCACACGTGCTTGATGGAGCCACTCGGCTGCAGGTCGAAGAAGACGTCATTCGTCCCCATCAGGTGGTGGGAGCAGCCGCTGTCGAGCAGGACCACCACCGGGTTCGCCTGCACAGCTGCCGCCACCGCCTGGAAGTCCTCCCCGGCCTCCGGCGCCAGCGAGACGGTCGGCTCCACGCCGCCGACCAGCGAGCATGACGCCGTCTTGTCGTCCCGCGCCTTGCCGCCAGCAGAGGAGCCGGCGTCCTTCGCCGAGGTCGACTTGGTTGACTGCGTCTCCTTGCGCGGCTTGTTCCCTCCTCGACGAGGACGACGACTGCCAGACCTCCCGCGGCCTCCCTTGGCGTCGTCGTCGTCGGAGTCACTGCGGTCGGGGTACTCGAAGGAGAGGTGGTCGGGGTCGCCGCACAGCCAGCACTCCCGACGTCGACCTCCTCCTCCTCGACCGCTGTCCTTGGTCGACTTCTTCTTGTCGAATTCCTTGGCCGCCATCCAGCCACTGCTACCACCGCCGCCAGTCTGTCCGCGCTGCCCCGGTCGACCTCCTTGCTTCGCCGGGGCGACAAATTTCGCCTGCGCCAAGAGCTCCTGGGACCGCTCTGCCTCCTGCATCGCCTCGTCCTGTAGGATGTACAAGGTCAAGTTGTCCTCGTTGAGCGTCGTCCTCGTGCTCGGCGCCATTGACAGCCGCTTCAGGAGGTTGTAGCTGCTCGAGAGTCCCTGCATGACGTGGGTGACGTACGACGCCGTCGAGTACTGCGCGCCGGCCATCCTGATGGTGGCGAGAATCCGCCGAGCTCGGTTGCAATAGTCGGTCGTCATCTCCTCGTCGCCCATACGCAGGTGCGTCAGCTGCCCCTCCAGCTGGGCGATGAACAAGTCATCGGTGATTTGGTAGGTCGACTCGATGAAGTGCCACGCCCACTGGCCGGCGTCGAGGTACTCTCGGCACCACTTCAAGGCGATGTGCACGCCCGGCGTGCAGCACCGCGAGATGACCGTGAAGGTCAACAGCTGCACGGCGCAAAACTCCGCACGCAAGTCGGGGTCGTTCGGCGTGGCCACGGTGCCTCGAGCAAAGCTTATCAGCCCGGCCATCTCCAGCTGGGGCTCGATGGCTTCCTTCCATGTGAGTATGTCTGGTCGACCAACGAGCGGCGGGGTGACCAAGATCCTGTCCGGCATAAACTTGAAGTAGCCGTAGCTCGGTGCTATCCCGCCCGCCGTCACCTGGGTCGCCGACATCGGCGACAATCCGCTTCGTCGACCTCCGACGTCGCCCTGCGTGGACCCTGCAGCCGCCGACGACCGCACCCCTCGCGCCTGAACGCCGCCGACTTCGTCGGCATGTATCACACCACGCTGCCTCGACGTGCCTCCCGCACTGCTGCCGACTTGGCCACCTCCGGCGTTGACACCCACGTCGACGCTGCCTTCGTTAGTCACCGGTCGAGGAGAAGCTGGTCGAGAAGGGGGATGCTCCGTCGCCCACATGGTGCGGAGTCCAGCCTCGACAACCGCCCAGGGTATCGCCCCGTACTCCTGGGCCTCATGGCGTCTCCTTGCATCCTCCAGCCGTGCCTCCAGGGTGTCCATCACCTCTGCGTCACCTACGCGCACGCTAGTGACTACACGGCTGCCGGCTTACGAGCAACTTAGGTAAGTGACCACTACGTCGACCTGACTGAAAGGTAAGTCGTGTGCCGTCCACGCTCACCGCACCATGCGGAGATAACTCTATCAACGGGAGCTAGGATACGGGCTAGGCACGGGTGCTCGTGTGATCTCTGCGTTCGTTGTTCCTTAGTCGTTTTCCTAGTGCACACACAGCTTGCTAGTTCACGGGGAGAATTGGCAAGAGTTTCACTAGAGAAAGTTGACAACAATGGTACAAAGAAGTTGGCAAGACAAGACAACATCAGAGCTAGCATGCAAGCTGGACGACTGCCAGCACAGCATGGTCGACCGCGTTCCAGCATGACTTGGTCGACCGTGTTCCAGCAGTGCAAAGTCGCGGCTTGCCAACACTGCAAGTCGACGGCGTGCCAACGTCGCAGGTTGACAGAACAGTAGCGCACCTACTTCGCAGGTGCTCGCAGATGATTGGCGTGCCGTGCCTTGTCACCTGCACAGCGCACACACCAAATCAACCTCGTGCTGAAGACTGCATCTGATCAGCCACGTCAACCTCGGGATACCACCATCGAAGTCGGACTCGCCAAAGCTGCCTGGGCGACCGTCGCACTCCCTCGCAAAACCTTGTCACCCAGGTAACCTGGTCGACCAAGCAACCATGTCGACCAGCTGCTCCTTCACTTGCCCGTCGACCACCCAGGTCGACGACCACCTTCGGTCGACCTCACTAGGTCGACCACACACCCTGGTCGACCAACTCCAGGTCGACAACACTCCTGGTCGACCAGGTCCAGGTCCAGGTCGACCAGCACTCCTGTCAGCCGACCGCACCACATCGGCTTTACCAGGTCGGCGTCACCAAGTCGACGCCCTGCCAGGTCGACCTCCCAAGTCGACCCACAGTCAGGTCGACCTCCCAAGTCAACCATACAGTCAGGTCGACCTCCTAAGTCGACCACCCTTGCAGTGGCCCCCATGCAGGTCGACCAGCCCTGTCGACCAGCCCGCCCAGTGCTGTAGGTCGGCTGCAACCCTCACACCCGACCACGTAGTCGGCACCGCCCAAGCGAGGACGGGGCCAAACACAACTCCCGTTGAGAACAACACACTGAAATTTCCCTCAACCCGAAAATCTTCGCAAATTTTACCAGGCGAAAATGCGAAGCTGATACGAGGTGTCCCTGATAAGGGGTTGTAGGAACATGCCCTTATATATGTGGGTTGCAACTTAGGGGGTACACCAAATTTCTCGACATTCTCCTTATACCACCCCCAGGCCCTCAGATTCACTTTGAGGGACGTAGATGGATCAGGGTCCCTCTGCGTAAAATCCCTGATTGATAGTGTCCCCTAGAAAAAAAGCCTGAAAAATCAGTGTCACTTAAAAAAAAACCCTGAAGCATCAGTGATCCCCAAGAAAAAAGTATGTTAATACTAAACCACACGGTTGACTGCCTCTTGGTATACCAGGCAGGAACGCGAGGAAACCCCCCGCGAATGGAAAGCACAGAGAAGAATGGGATGGGAGCCTGGATGGCAGGTAGCATGGCTGGGCGACGTGGATGCATCAGTGCTTGCCAGCACGACCTAGACAGAACGCGCCACAGGACCACAGGTGCAAGCAATGGGCCAGAAACCCTCGCATCACAGCATGCCAGCTTCGCAGTGCTGCAATCCTGTCATTGGTCAACCCACATAATGCCAATGATTTGACCAGGCGCGCCAACAAAGCAGCCCTCAAAATGAAAAAACACGGGGCAAATTTGTCTCGTAGTCACCGCCAGGCACTGCTGACACCGCGGGAATCTGAGATTCTCTGTACTTCCGGGCAGCACTCGGAACGTGTAGGAATCGCATTCAGTGTCAATTTCGGTACAACATAGTGAAATTAGTGTCCTAAAAAAAAAAAAAAAACCTGAAAGTTCAGATTCGTCTGGCAGGAAAAGTCTGAAAAATCAGTCCCACAAAAAACGGAACACTGGAAAATCAGGGTAGGTAAAAACAAGACTCGACGTTGACGTCGGAAGGGTTGCGTAGAGCTGTATTCCGTGTGTAAGGAACATTATGAAAGAGTACAATATAATCATATTTTGCTTAAAGAAGCAAAAAAAAATAAGTTCTTCATTTTAACTTATTTTAACTAAAAACAGGATACCGTATATGGTGCTTCGTTCTGCGCTGGGAGAAATTGTATCGTTCTGCGGTGGCAGAAATTGTCTTGTTCTGCGCAGGCAGAAATTCTCTGCGCTGGCAAAAATTTTATCTCTGCGCTGGCATCCGTCCCTTTCACAGCTGTCAACTCAATTTCTGCGCTCTTTTCTTGGTTCTTTTGTTCTGGTTCCTCTCGACTCGACAAGCACACCTGCTCTGCTCTTAGTCCTCTTCCTTCCCCCCACCCCAATTTCTCGCCAGTTCTCCCACCCAGCCGTCGCTCTCGCTCCCATCCCGCCTTCACCTCTCCTATTCACCTCACAGTCACTCAGTCCCACCCCGCGATCTCCTCTTCCTTACTTCCCCGTCGTCGCCTCTCCCTCCTCCCCGTCGTCGCCTCTCCCTCCTCCCCGTCGTCGCCTCTCCCTCCTCCCCGTCGTCGCCTCTCCCTCCTCCCCGTCGTCGCCTCTCCCTCCTCCCCGTCGTCGCTTCTCCCTCCTCCCCGTCGTCGCCTCTCCCTCCTCCCCGTCGTCGCCTCTCCCTCCTCCCCGCCGTCGCCTTTCCCTCCTCCCCGCCGTCGCCTCTCCCTCCTCCCCGTCGTCGCCTTTCCCTCCTCCCCGCCGTCGCCTCTCCCTCCTCCCCGCCGTCGCCTTTCCCTCCTCCCCGCCGTCGCCTCTCCCTCCTCCCCGTCGTCGCCTTTCCCTCCTCCCCGCCGTCGCCTCTCCCTCCTCCCCGCCGTCGCCTTTCCCTCCTCCCCGCCGTCGCCTCTCCCTCCTCCCCGCCGTCGCCTCTCCCTCCTCCCCGCCGTCGCCTCTCCCTCCTCCCCGCCGTCGCCTCTCCCTCCTCCCCGCCGTCGCCTCTCCCTCCTCCCCGCCGTCGCCTCTCCCTCCTCCCCGCCGTCGCCTCTCCCTCCTCCCCGCCGTCGCCTCTCCCTCCTCCCCGCCGTCGCCTCTCCCTCCTCCCCGCCGTCGCCTCTCCCTCCTCCCCGCCGTCGCCTCTCCCTCCTCCCCGCCGTCGCCTCTCCCTCCTCCCCGCCGTCGCCTCTCCCTCCTCCCCGCCGTCGCCTCTCCTTCCTCCCCGCCGTCGCCTCTCCTTTCCTCCCCGCCGTCGCCTCTCCTTTCCTCTCCGCCGTCGCCTCTCCCTCCTCCCCGCCGTCGCCTCTCCCTCCCCCCCGCCGTCGCCTCTCCCTCCTCCGCGCCGTCGCCTCCTTCACTCCTCGTCGTCGCCTCTTTTCCCCTCCCCGCCGTCGCCTGTCCCTCCTCCCCGCCGTCGCCTCTTTTCCCCTCCCCGCCGTCGCCTCTCCCTCCTCCCCACCGTCGCCTCCGGCGGCAGGTGCACGAGCGCAAGCGCGTGTGTTGGTGCGCGAGCGCGGGTTGGTGCGCGAGCGCGGGTTGGTGCGCCAGCGCGGGTTGTTTTCTGAAACACCGTGATTATCAGGTGCGTTCCCGGTCCTTTCATCCTCCCTTCCCCCACTGAATTCTCCCCCCCCCCCCCTCCCTCCCCTCTTTTTTGTTTTCTTTGCTCTCTTCGTAAAGTTTCTTGTGTAGATTGGTCTCCTCTCGCATTGCACTTTCATTTGAAGAAGAGGAGAGACGGAGCGCGAGGGAGAGCATGTACACGGGAGCGAACACGCAGGAAAGCGCGCGTGAGAGTGCGCGTGAGAGAGCGCACGAGAGAGCGCACGAGAGAGCGCACGAGAGAGCGCACGAGAGAGCACGTGAGGGAGCGCGTGCGAGTGAGAGTGCTCCTGAGAGTGCGCGTGATAGAGCGCGTGAGAGAGCGCGTGCGCGTGAGAGAGCTCGTTAGAGTGCGCGTGAGAGAGCGCGTGAGAGTGCGGATGAGAGTGCGCGTGAGGGAGCGCGTGAGAGTGCGAGTGAGAGTGCACGTGAGAGTGCACATGAGAGTGTAAATGAGAGTGCGCTTGAGTGAGTGCGTGAGAGAGAGCACGTGAGGGAGCACGTGGGAGAGCGCGTGGGAGAGCGCGTGAGAGAGCGCGTGAGACGCGTGAGAGAGAGCGCGTGAGAGAGCGAGTGAGACGCGTGAGAGAGTGCATGAGAGTGTGCGTGAGAGAGCGCGTGAGAGAGCGCGTGAGAGAGCACGTGAGGGAGCGCGTGAGAGAGCGCGTGAGAGAGCGCGTGAGGGAGCGTATGAGAGAGCGCGTGAGAGAGTGCATGACAGCGCGTGAGAGACGCGTGAGAGAGCGCTTGAGAGAGCGCGTAAAAGCGCGCGCGAGAGCGCTCGTGAGAGAGGGCGTGAGAGAGCGAGTGAGACGCGTGAGAGAGTGCATGAGAGTGTGCGTGAGAGAGCGCGTGAGAGAGCGCGTGAGAGAGCGCGTGAGAGAGCGTGAGAGAGCGCGAGAGGGAGCGCGTGAGAGAGAGCATGAGAAAGAGCATGAGAGGGCGCGTGAGAGAGCGCGTGAGAGAGCGCGTGAGAGTGCGTGCGATAGAGCGCGTGAGAGAGCGCATGAGAGAGTGCGTGAGAGACGCGTGAAAGCGTGCGTGAAAGCGTGCATGAGAGAGCGCGTGAGAGAGCGCGTGAGAGAACGCGTGAGAGAGCGCGTTAGAGAATGCATGAGAGAGCACATGAGAGAGCGCGTGAGAGTGCGCGTGAGATACGCGTGAAAGCGTGCGTGAAAGCGCACGTGAGAGAGGGCGTGAGAGAGCACGTGAGAGAGCGCGTGAGGGAGCGCGTGAGAGCGTGTGAGAGCACGTGAGAGAGCCCTGAAAGAGCAGGTGAGAGAGCGCGTGAGAGATTGCGTGAGAGAGTGTGTGAGAGAGCGCGTGAGAGAGTGAGTGAGAGTGCGTGAGAGAGTGCGGGAGAGAGTGCGTGAGAGAGTGCGTGTGCGTGAGAGAGTGCGTGAGAGAACGCACGAGAGAGCTTTATGAGCACGCTGGGGCATATGCACTAGCATCTATTTTGCTGGTGTTTGGGCAGCTGGGACTACTTATGCAAACGAGTGTCGCTTTCTGCACTAGTGTTAAGTGTGTCGGCTTCTAAGGTGTTTGATTCTCTGTTTTTGCTGTGTGCAGGCCGTGTGTGTGTTTGCTTCTCTGTTTTTGCTGTGTGCAGGCCGTGTGTGTGTTTGCTTCTCTGTTTTTGCTGTGTGCAGGCCGTGTGTGTGTTTGCTTCTCTGTTTTTGCTGTGTGCATGCCGTGTGTGTGTTTGCTTCTCTGTTTTTGCTGTGTGCAGGCCGTGTGTGTGTTTGCTTCTTTGTTTTTGCTGTGTGCATGCCGTGTGTGTGTGTTTGCTTCTCTGTTTTTTGCTGTGTGCAGGCCGTGTGTGTGTTTGGGAGTGGGAGGGAGATGAGGGAAGGAGGGACGGAGGGGTGTAGGGAGGGTTAAGGGAGATGAGGGAGTGGGGGAGGGAGGGGAATGGGGGGCAAGGTAGCGATGGTCTATTAATTGGTGAACTTCATTGGCTATGCTTGCATGCTTAGTATTAGCTGTATGTTTCTGCGTGTTTTTCTCTCTGCGTATGTGTGTGCGTACATGTAGGCTATGTAGTTGTGTGGCTCTGTTTCGGGGTGAGTGCTAAGTGCCTCGTGTATACAATTGCGGTTGTGATCGTTGGTGGGGCAGCTTTGGTTGCCTCTTCCATACCAGATCAATCGCAGTTGCATTAACGATGCATTCTAGCATTAGCTTCGAAGCACTCACAACTGGTGTTTCTCGTTTTTGTACAAGTTCGTGTGCTGTCGTTTGGGTCTGTTTTAGGGTCTGACCACCCCTTCTCCCCCATAGTAATCATTCTGACTTCCTACATAAGTAAGATAGTTTTTTAAGAATCACCTGTATGTGCATTACCCCAAGACAAGAATGAAATCTAGCCCTTCATAGTGCATGACCGCTCAGCCCAACAAAACAGAGGCATTCCCATTTCATTTTTCCAGGGGGATTAACTGTAAAAAACTAACGAGCAGGAATGATTGCATTTACATCAAACTGAGTACAAGTATAACCCTAATTGGGTTGTACCCCATATAGGCTACCCCACTACAGCCTACACAACACAAGTAACATTATAGTTTGACACACCCCCATAGGCAAAATGGGGGAGAACAAGGGGTCAAAAGACCAGTCAAGAAAAGCAAAGCAAGCTCAGGGTGGATCACAAAGTCACCACACACTCTAAGCACAAGCAAATGGCCTCAGGGCCGTTCCACATGGAGAGATATATAAAAGACGGCAGTAGAGTGATCACTACCTAGCAAGAGTAAGCACGCAGGTATAAATATAGGTCACAGTACAAGCAAAGTCAAGCAGTGAGCAAGTGAGGCAAAACAGGCACAAGGCCCAACACAGTACAAAAGCACTGATGATCACAAGGCTAAAGTGCCTTGGTGAATATATCAGCAGTGTTGGCCCGAGTGGCCACGTAAGCAAGACGAAGCTGACCACGCTACTGCAACTCTTGAGCAACGAAGTAACGCAGAGCGATGTGCTTCGTTATGTGCTCCAGTCTGTGCTCCTGACACAAGGCAATTGCAACCTTATTGTCCACGTACAGAACTGGAGGAGAACGAGGCCGCTCTCCCAAGTCGGCCAGCAGGTAGGTGAGGCACCGTAACTCCTGTGCAGCCATGGCTGTCGCGTAGATCTCAGCCTCGCAACTGGAGCTGAGAACAGAAGACGAGCGGGTAGACCGCCAAGAAACAGAGCCGGAGCCAAGGCCGAACGAGTAACCCTGAGACGACCGCTGCGTAGTCATGTCGTCAACCCACGAAGCGTCTGATTGTCCAGTGAGGACAACTGGACCCCGCCCTCCAAGCACGGGCCCCATGCCCGATGTACTCCACAAGAAACGCAGTACCCTTTTCGCAGCATCCCAGTGCTCCTTTCGGTGCCTACCAGGAGCCACGTAGCGTGCCAGAAGGCCAAGAGGGTACGCAAGGTCAGGACGAATGCAGGTTATCAGATACATGAGGCAGCCCACTAGCTCTGGGTACGGGCCACTCGGCTCTACGGACTCGTCCGAAGGTGGAGCTGAGAGTGAGTTACCGGTAGCCAGAGGAGTGGACTGTGGCGAGGACCAAGTGAAACCGAAGCGCTGAAGGACCTGCTGCACCATGTGTGACTGAGTCAGGGTGATGGTGCGTCGTGCTCTCTCTCGGGTGATCCGCAAGCCAAGATAGTTGCGCAGCTCACCCAGGTCTGTGCATGTGTGTCACTTCTGCAGCTCTGACTTCACAAGGGCGAGTGCCTCAGTGTCAGCAGTGGCAAAAACCAAGTCGTCGACGTACACGAGGATGCAGCGAAGTGTCGGTGCGGAGAAACAGCGACGGGTCTGCAGTCGAGGGAGCAAACCCAAGTGCCGCAAGTGTCGTCCTCAGTGTGTCGTGCCACTCACGAGGCGCCTGGCGCAAACGTAGGTGCCTGTGGACTTCTAGGATGCCATCTCTGCGTCCATGGCTGTCTGCCACTGAGAGGAGTAATCACCCGCGATCGCCTCAGCGTAAGAGCGCGGGGTCGGGATGTCTGGTGCATCCGGGTCTCCCTCAGGGGCAAGCAACATGGCCACGAGATGAGGTGCAGCGGCTGCAAGACACTCAAAGTCCTCCTGCCTGTCCTCAAGGACGTCCGTGCCAAGAGCACACTCACCCCCGACGGACGGAGGACAGGCAGACTCAGACTCAGTAACAAGACAAGCGGCGTAGTCGAGACGACAAGCAGCAGCAAAGTCAACAAGCTCAGCGACTAAGGCAGACGCAGCAGCAGAGTCAAACGAAGGGTCAGTGACAGCAATGGCTAAGAGACGCGTGACAGTAGGACTGGCAGCACGAACCAGGTCAAACTCAGGGTCCGGAACGTGCGGAAGAGAGGACGCAGGAGGAGACGGCAGGGGAACACGCTGTGGAACAGAGGAAGGACAAAGTGCCATAGTGTGCGTGCCGGGGACAGGAGGAGGACGCTCACGAGGAACATGACGACTAGTGCGACCAGCGCGAACAGGCGAGGCAGGACGAGACGCAGGCTCACGACGCTCAGTAAGACCTCCTGTCTGCTCAGTGTAAGGAGAGGGAGCAGGCAGTGGGGAGCCTGGCTGTAACTGGAGACCAGGCGAAGACGAGAGACTAAGAACCTGGCGAAGCACCGAGCGAGGCGGCGGCAGAGACGACGGTGACGGGGGAGCGAAGAACAGACGCGGCGGTGCAGCACCACCAGAACCAGCTCCTCTAGCACCAGCACCCCCAGTACTAGTACCAGTAGCTCCAGGGTCTCCAGCAGCTCCAGAAACTCCAGCAGCTCCAGCACCTCCAGCTCCCGGGTCACCAGCTCCAGCGCCTACAGCTCCAGGGCCTCCAGCTCCAGAGTCCGCATCACCACCAGCTCCGGCCGCGCCAGTATCTCCAGCTCCCGCGCCTCCAGCCGCAGCACCTCCAGCCCCAGCAGCGCCACTCCGAAGGCGGCAGTGCTGAGTGTACCACTCGCGTAGCTGCTGCGGCGAGAGAGCACCTCCAAAACCTCCACGACGAGCACCTCCAGGACTAGCAGTGCAAGCTCCACCAGCACCACCAGTACTGACAGTACCACCAGCTCCGGCAGCTCCAGTACCTCTAGTACGAGCACCTCCGGGCTAGCAGCTCCAGCACCTCGAGCAGCAGCACCACCACCAGCTCCAGCAGCTCGAGAAACTCCACTACCTCCAGCACCTCCAGCACGAGCAGCACCACCAGCTCCAGCAGCTCCAGCGCCACCAGCACGAGCACCCCCAGGACCAGCAGTGCCAGCACCACCAGCACCTCCAGGACCAGCAGCTCCAGGGCCTCCAGCTCCAGCAGCGCCACGCCGAAGGCTACAGCGCCGAGCATACCACTCGCGCAACCGCTGTGGTGAGAGTGGCTCCCGTAGTGTAGACGCAGGACCCCTAGGCTCAGCACCCCCAGACTCAGCACCCCCAGGCTCCGCACGC